CTGTTACTTTGATTTATGTTTGCCGTTTCTACACTGTTAAGCCAGTCTACAACTTCTTGTATGTTTGGTCTTTTCATTGGATTTTGATTCACACACATGCAGGCTATGTCAAGCACACGAAGCATATCTTCTTCCTTTCCATTATCTCTCAGCAATGGATCAAACGCCTCCATTGGTTTCCCTTCCTTTCTCATATAATCCACCCATACCACCAATTCTCTTGACATCTTTGGCCTGAATACCTCCATTGGTCTTTTCCCAGTGAGAAGCTCGAGCATGACGACACCAAAACTGTACACGTCACCTCTCAAAGTGGCTACCCATGCTTGTCCATACTCTGGGGGAATGTAACCCAATGTGCCCACGAGCTCAGTTGTAACATGGGTGCGATATGGATGGATCAATCTTGATAACCCGAAATCCGCAAGGTAGGCCTTGAAATTTCCATCCAAAAGGATGTTGCTGGACTTGATGTCTCGGTGTACTATGTGTGGTTCACATATCTGGTGCATGTATGCTAGTCCACAACTTGCTCCTCTCATAATGTGAAGTCTTTTTGCCCAATCCAGTTGGCCTGGACCCTCTGGATTTTCGTGCAGCCAATAATCAAGACTTCCGTTTTCCATGAACGAGTAAATGAGTATCCGGGCACTATCGTGGACACAGTAGCCTTGTAGAGCAACGAGGTTTTCATGTTTGGCCCTGGACAGAACTTCTACCTCTGCCTTGAATTCTTTTTCCATCATACCATGGTCTCCTGTAAGTTTCTTAACCGCCAGTTTCGTCCCATTATCCAAGGTAGCCTTATAGACAAGGCCAAACCCGCCACAGCCGATTATATTAGCTTGACTGAAGTTGTTGGTAGCTTTCAAGAGCTCAAATATGGTCAAGTCTTTCACTTCATACCTACTGTTTCCAAACAGCAGCACGAGGCTTATGTCTTTCTCTGAACTTTGACCGACTTCAGAATATGAGGCATTGGAATTTATCTCCAGTTCCGCATTCTCGGAGTCTCCTGGATTTACCCTCCTCTTGGACATCACCCACAGAGCAAGCAACACCAAAATCAAACTGATACCAAAAAAGATCCCAATGACAAGCCCCAGAACAAGTGGTTTGTTGACCTTTTTATCCATCTTTGCAGAAGAGGTGTGATTTGTAGTCGTGCAGGAGGTTAGCAGTACACCACCGCACAGCAACGGGTTTCCTTCAAAATATGCTTTTTTGAAGGTATCAAACTGACCGCCTGTGGGTACCGGCCCACTGAGAGTGTTGTTTGCAACATTGAAATAGGACATGAAATGGAGTCCCGTGAGCGACCAAGGAATTCTACCGGATAGATTGTTGTCGGACAGGTCTAGCCTCTCTAAGTTTGTGAGGTTTGATAATTCATCTGGGATGCTGCCAGACAAATTATTACCTAAAAGTTCAATAACATGGAGAACCTTTAGCTGTCCAACCTCAACTGGTATACTCCCGTTCAGGTTATTCCTCCTGATGTATATCGCAGGTGGAAGGCTGGAAAGCTGATTGTATTGCTGATTGGTGGTGATATTATTGGGATTGACAAAAACCGGCAGCTCTAGATAGTTTCGCTCTGTCGCATCATATGCCTTTTGGGACGTCAGAGCCTTCAGCTGAAACAGTTCCTTTGGAATCTCTCCTGTAAGAAGGTTATCAGAGAGATCCAAGTAAAAAAGGTTTGGAAGAGTCCCTAGCCAACCGGGAATCGACCCCACGAGTCGGTTCAGTGACAGGTCCATAACTTCTACCCTCTTGAGCTTTATCAGCCAAGCTGGTATTTCACCTTTCAATCTGGATCCACCCATACCGAAGATAAGGAGGCTTGGAAATCCATCTGATTGAAGAAAGTCTTCGTTGCTTGGTATCGTTTCGTCGTAAAAATTCTTGGCAATGATGAGAGTAGACAGCTTCTTGCAGCCTTGCAGAATGCTGAGTGCACCTGTAAAGTTGGTCATTTTATTGTCTGAAAACGTAAAGAACGACAGCGACTCCAATTGCAGTACTCGAGGCGATATCTGCCCCGTTAACTTGTTGCCTGCAAACCTCATTGCGGTCAGTTTTTTGCAGGAGTAGACAGATGAAGGGAATTCGCCGCTGAAGCTATTGTTTCCGAGGTCCAGAATGTTGAGGCTCTGAAACCGGGAAAAGTCTAGCTCCGATAAGGTTCCTTCCAGCCGATTAACCCGCAAATTCAACTTCTCGAGATTTGTGCAATTGGCAAGAGAAACCGGGACAGAACCGGTGAGTTTATTGATATGAAGCTGGAGGCTGCGCAGGTTGAAAAGCTTACCGACATCCATTGGTATTTCTCCTTCGAGGTGATTGAAGTAAAGCTCAAGCAATGTCAGTTTCGTGAGACGAGTAATCCCATCATCAATCTTTCCAGAAAGATGATTGGCTGGTAAAAAGATTTGCTCAAGCTTAGAAAGATTGTAGATATCTTTTGGGATTTCGCCAGAGAGATTGTTGAAGCCTGCTCGAAGTACACTTAGCCTCGAGCATCTGCCTAAACCTTCAGAGATATCACCGGTGAAATCGTTGTAGGAGAAATCCAATTTGGTGAGC